TGACAGGCAGCGAGGCAGATGAAGTACATCCTGGTGACGGGCGGGGTGATCTCGGGCATCGGCAAGGGGATCATCGCCAGCAGCATCGGCACCATCCTCAAGTCCTGCGGGCTGCATGTCACCTCCATCAAGATCGATCCCTACATCAACATCGATGCCGGTACCTTCTCCCCGTATGAGCACGGTGAGTGTCCCTGGGGCCGAGCTGTCAGTGGACGGCTGGTCCTGAGCTGGTTACCAGGGGCTTCCCGGGGGGTGCCGGGGCTGGTTTTGCCTGAAGGAACCAGCACCTTTGCATGGCAGAAGAGTTGGCGTCTGGTCCTGCATAGGGGAGCTGCGAGCTGAGCCTGTCAGTGGTTCCAGACTGACATGGGGCTGATCGCACCACCAGCGAGTAGCAGAGATGTGCTCTTTGGTCTGTTATCATTGCTGCCTGCTTGAGGGATTCAGTCCTCAGTGTAGTCGTCCTCTTTGTTATATAAGGCTTTTATTAGCCACTCCTAAACTTGCTGTAGCAGTCACAGAAGGTGTTTTCTTACATTGAATTCTTCCAGCTGTCACAGGCAAAAACCAACAAATTGCTGATGTGAACTGTTTCCCCTTGACATACGTGTTTGTGCCTTTTTTTGTGTGCTGCAGGCGAGGTTTTTGTGCTAGATGATGGAGGAGAAGTGGACCTGGACCTTGGTAACTATGAGCGCTTCCTTGATATCCGACTCACCAAAGACAACAACCTGACTACTGGGAAGATCTACCAGTATGTCATCAACAAGGAGAGGAAGGGAGACTATCTTGGCAAAACTGTCCAAGGTGATGTGAGGCTTCGTTCATGATGCTTAGAAATATATTCTGTATTTTTGTCCTGGTTGGATGTTCTTGCATTTCATCCTAACTTGAGGTCTTTGTTATATGCTGTCCTTGTGGTGTTTTTTGTTTGTTTTTCAAAAGGGGAAGAAGGAGATGCACCAGTGCAGGTGTAGTGGTGTGTGCTGTACTGAATCAGGTTATCTAAGCCCCTCAAAACTTTCTGGTGCTCAGCAATACGCTGCCTTTTGTTGGTATTATATGCTGGACTTTGGTCCAGTTGTTTAATGACGCCAGTACTAAATGGGAACAGGCTTCAGCCTAACACACCTGTGGGTTATTTTTTAGCTAGTTAAAATGGTTATTGCTTTTGGTAACTGTCCTGTAATTAGGAAACTGAAAGGATCTTTGAGGATCAAGTCAGTCCCTTCCCTGTTTAAGCATCCTCCACAGCTGGTTTGGATAAGGACTTTTCCAGACAGTTAATAACAAAGTTACTCTCTGCTTAGAGCAAAGAACTGTTTGTACTTGATCTTGCAGCTTAAAAGAAACATTGCTTGCATGTGTTTAAATTGAGGCAGGATTACATTTCCTGCCAAGGCACTACTCTTGAAAATCACAGCCAAGTACAATCCCTTCAAAAATGCATACTTCCTTAAAGACACAGATCAGTGCTGCCGTGATAAGGGAAACACTGGATAGTTAGTTTCAATAATTTGCTCTGTAATGAATTAAAGGGGGAAATGTGCATGGGTTGTGGCTTTAACCCCTGCCTGGGTTTCTTTTTCAGTTGTTCCCCACATCACAGATGCTATACAAGAATGGGTAATGAGGCAGGCACAAATCCCTGTAGATGAAGATGGCATTGAACCCCAAGTTTGTGTGATTGAGGTTTGTAGCTCTTAATAAAAAAAAAATTATTGTTTTCAGTAAACTGAACTATGTGCGTATTTTGCACAGTAAAGGTTTTTTTACAGTAATGTTCAACTTTGGATGTTGTTGAGTTAGTCAAAAATCCCTGCTTGCTCACCGATTCGGTTTAATCTTTTGAATGCTCTCTGTCTGAAAGACTTAGGTCTTGGGCAGTTATGTTTTTGAGATGCTTTGCTCTGTAGTGTAATGTAAATTAGTCTATAAAATGAACTTTAGCTCTCATAGGTATACACCGAACTCTGAGTTAATCATACTGTGCCCTCTTCTTCCTTGGGCGTGGAGGGAGGGTGGTAGGTAAATCACCCTCTGGAAGCAGTTCTCTTTCCTCCGTAGCAGTAAAGGGAGCCTTGGAGTGACTAGTTCGAGCATAGACCTAGAAAAGTGAATGGCACAAGTGAGTGGGGACAAACCCTGCTCGGTTTCCTGTGCGATGTCCTCCTGCCAGAGGAGACAGAGTAGGGTGAAGGCTCTGAGACTGCAGATTTGTCTGGCAGAATATGCTAGTATGGGAGATAGGGAGCTTGCCAGAATTCCCTGGGTCATGGTGACTTGGGACTCTCCCTGCAGCCTGAGTGCCAATTTCTATTCCAGGATTCCCAAGCTGGATCCTGAAGTACCTAGGAGGCACTGTCTGACAATGCATGGGAGGCTGTCACTGCACCAAAGAACGCCTTGTGTCTGTTGTGCATGTGTCCAAACCCACTCTATGTCGTTACTAAAACTTAACAGAAATTTTGCTTCTCAGTGCCACCTAATGCTCATAAATGATAATTTTAACAACTAAATCTTTTCCCCGAAGAGAGAATAGAAGCAAAGCTAATGTCCCTGGAGAGGTGCTATCCCTATGAGAAGCTGTTTTTCTTATGGTTTTTTGATTTTGGGGGAAATCATGAAGGTAAAATAATAGTTGGGATAGATGGGAGGCTGTGGAAGTAGTACATCCAACTGGCAAATCCTGCTTTTCATATTGGCGTAGATGTTCCTTTAGGGAATCAGAAGGAGGTGCTGAGGAGGTGCAGTGTCCTACAAATTCAGTAGCTGATGTTTTGGTACTAACTTCCATTCTAAATGTCTTTGTCTCTTTTAGCTGGGTGGGACGGTAGGCGATATTGAAAGCATGCCTTTCATTGAAGCTTTCCGCCAGTTCCAGTTCAAAGCAAAAAGAGAGAATTTTTGTAACATTCATGTCAGTCTAGTTCCCCAGGTAAGGACCTAAAATGTTTTGGTGGTTAGGGCCTTCCCCAGTCCAAAACTTGCTTTCTGAATATGTGTTTCTGAAATGCTGTGTCTATACAGTGCTGAGTGGCGCTGTTACATTTGTATTTCTGTATATAGAAACTTCTGGAAGAAATGCAGAGAATATATGGTTACATATTTAAAAAGGTTCGCAAGAAGCAAACAGAAACTTTTCAAAGTGTGTAAATGTGCAATAAATAGTTGGGAGTTGCAGCAAGTGTGGTTTTGCATCTTTAACTGCTGTTGTGGAATTGTCTCCTAGCTTTTGCAGGTCAACTTGCTTTCTAGGGCTGAAAACTTTCAATTTCCCTTCATTTGCATAGCCTTTCATTTCTGCAAAGGTAATATAAAATTCAGTGATACAGGCAGACTTCACAGTCATTTGGACTTATTAATAAGATCATATTCCAAGCTCTTCCTGGAGTGCTTCAATATTTCTGCTGCCGTGTTCCCCCTCCTGCCCCAAGATTTGCATTAGCTGTGGTTTGTGAAGTAGGTTGGGTTGCTTTTGTAATTTCAAAACATAATACTGTGTTTTGAAAGATAATCTTTTATTTTCCCCCTAAATAATATTTTTAATGTGCATTCTTATCTTTAACAGTCATTTCATAGACTCTCATATCTGACCGCTATGTAAGCCATAACAATCTGAGCGGCAGTCAACCTTAGTTCAGAGATTCAGCGAAGAAAATGTATTATGAAGCAGTGCTATGATAAGAATCAGTTAATTAGGAATCACAAAGAAAGCCAAAATATTGCTATGTACCAAGTGGATGGGGTGAAGTCCAGTTAAGATCAAAAGCATATGAAGGTGTTCTGTGCCATATAATGCCTCATATAACCCCCATCTGTATTATTGGCTTTGGTTTTGGAGACAATTTACAGTCTTAACCAAGCAAAAAATTCCTACTGCAGGAATCACTGCTGAAAAAGTTATTCCATGGTTATGTTAACAGTACTGGAGAGCATGAGTATTCCTTGTCTTGGAACTGGATTTGGCAGAGCAGCTTGATAGTTACTGGAGTGCAGATCAATCTTCATTCTCCTCGTCTCCCTCTTTCTTTCCCTTTCTGTACAGGCCAGGTGATTTATGGAGAAAAAATTAGAAGGATAAAATATGAGGTATGTGGAGGGACCAGTGCATA